TTTTTAGTAGAGACGGGGTTTCACCATGTTTTGACCAAGATGGTCTCGGTCTCTTGACCTCGTGATCCACCCACCTCGGCCTCCCAAAGTGCTAGGATTACAGGCGTGAGCCACCGCATCCAGCCCTTCATTTACTTTCATTTCCTCATTTCCCTTTCTCTTTCATTTCCTCCCTTCCTTTCCAGACAGCCTGTTGCCCAAGCTGGAGTACAACAGTGTATGCAGCCTCAAATTCCTGGGCTCAGGCAGTCCTTCCACCTCAGTCTCCAGAGTAGCTAGGACCACAAGTGAGCCACCAACTGTGACTGTGCTAATTTTTTTTTTTTACAGTAAAGATGGGAACTTGCTATGTTGCCCAATCTAGTCTTAAATTCCTGGCCTCAGGTGATCTTCCTGCCTCAGCCTCCCAAAGTGTTGAGATTACATCTTTCTTTATAAAAAAAAAAAAAAAAAAAAAAAAAAAATGTAGTCCAGCTGCATTGGTGGCAGCAAAACTTACCTCCTAAGGCACACACAGAGTCTATAATTAGAAAACGTAAGTCTATAATTAGAAAATGTACTTTTATATAACTAAAAGTAAGGCCGGGCGTGATCGCTCACACTTGTAATCCAAGTACTTTGGAGGCCAAGGCAGGTGGATCACCTGAGGTCGGGAGTTCAAGAGCAGCCTGACGAACATGGTGAAACCCTGTCTTTATATTAAAAAAAAAAAAAAAGAAAAGAAAAGAAAAGAAAATGGAATAGTAAAATAAATTGTTAAGATACAATTATATTTATTCAACTGAACATTAAGAGGGGCAAAATCATTTTGTGTCTTTTTGTTCTTTTCTTTCTTTTTTTTTTTGAGACAGTCTTGCTCTCTCACTCAGGCTGGAGTGCAGTGGTGCTATCTTATCTCAGCTCACTGCAACCTCCACCTCCCGGTTTCAAGTGATTCTCCTGCCTCAGGCTCCCAAGTAGCTGGGACTACAGGCATGCACCATGTCTGGCTAATTTTTACATTTTTAGTTGAGACAGGGGTTTCATCATATTGGCCAGGCTGGTCTCAAACTCCTGACCTTGTGATCCGCTTGCTTTGGCCTCCCAAAGTGCTGGGATTACAGGCATGAGCCACTATGCCTGGCCAACACATTTTTATATAACTAAAAAATATACCTATTGTGAGCCCAGAAGAACTTCTGTACCTTAATATCTTGTTAAACTAATAAGTTCCACTCAATTCATTACTGCTATACACAGTTTTCAGTTAGGGAACTAATGATAGGGAACTAATGATACTGTGGTATAACATTCATAGTGTTTCTCTTTGGCAGGTTATTGACCTCTTATAACCTATTTTGATATGGGTTTGAATAAATGATTCACCATCACTAATTTCTGCTGTCAGACTTACTAGTCACCTAGGTCCGACTTGAATGGAAAGGAGAATGTAAAAGTGAAGTGGTCTGAGAATGACAGCCTCTCTTGAAGGGTGGGTGAAGGTTCAGTGACCTTTGGGCACACTGCTCCATTCTGTTGGAATCACTGCTTTGGGGAGGCAATAGAACCCGTGGCTCATAAAACCTGATGCTATTAAGAAGAGAGAATTCACAAATAGATGTCAGGGTCACTGCTACTTTAAAAATTCAAGTGTAAGAAAAAAATATCATATTTTAAGATGAATTACTAATTTTTTTTTCTTTTAAAAGTATGGAGGAAACCTATACCATACAGATGTTCATTACTTATTCAATGTACACTACTGAGAGATAAATAGAACTGTTAGAATACAAAAATGCCAAGGGTAATTCAACTACTGCAGTGTAAGTGTGGTATAACTGATTCGTCATGACATACAATTTTCTAAAAGCTATTCTGTTAGAAGGCAATAAATGAGTGCATAAATGATTTATACTCTTCTGAACCACAGTTATTATTCAGTGTTTTATTTTAAAAAATATATATACCCTCTACTATTATGTTTATTCTCTGGAGTATAATAAAAACATAATTGAATTTGATGAAAAATAGACTTGATTCTAAATGTAGCATACAGCACATACAGCTACTTCCTTATTTTGTTCCTTGTGAAGATCAATGGTCACTTGAGGTAGTTTTGCTCTAGGTTTGTTTTAAAATATGGGCAATAAAATGTTTTTAATTTAAAAATTATATCCTATGTTCCATACTATATTTTCTTTTTAATACTAGCATCTGAGTTTTGACCTAATAACTACTTTTGAATGCAAATACAATGTTTTAATCACTGTTTTACTTTTAAAAATGATTTCTTGTTGACTAGGTAAGGCAAAAAATTAAGTGTAAGTGGTTTAGTAAATAAAAATTAGCAATTCAGAACAACAGCTTCAGAGTTCAGTAACCTCTTTTATTTTGATGGCACCTAAATGCCATTGTGAAGGAAAAGGTTTACCTTTTAAAATATAATTCAATTTTAAAAACTATAACCATCTCTGAAATTTAGGTAAATGTCTCGTTCATCTATTTAAGAAAACACTATTTTTATTTGTAAGTTCATTTGAGTTGGAAATTGTGCCATAAAATATATAAATATATAACATTAAAGTTAACTATGTATTACACAATTTATGTTATATGTTATATATAACCTTTATGTTTTATAACTATTATGTTACATAGTTATCAAACATAAAAGTGACAAAATTAAGCTAAAAATTAATTAGTTATTTTATATTTATATGAAATATCAACTATATACTCTGAGTTTGGTTAGGTCTATTTCTAAAATACATATATATCTGGGCTCAGTGGCTCACGCCAGTAATCCCAGCACTTCGGGAGGCCGAGGCGGGTGAATCACGAGGTCAAGAGATTGAGACCATCCCGGTCAACATGGTGAAACCCTGTCGCTACTAAAAATACAAAAAATTAGCTGGGCATGTTGGCACATGCCTGTAATCCCACCTACCCAGGAGGCTGAGGCAGGAGAATTCCCAGGAGGTGGAGGTTACGGTGAGCCGAGGTTGTGCCATTGCACTCCAGCCTGGTGGGTAACGAGCGAAATTCCGTCTCAAAATAAATAAATAAATAAATAAATAAATAAATAAATAAATAAAATAAAATACATATACAACATGTATATGCATAGGTATAGTATAAAGAGAAAATAAAAATTAAAAGTAAGAAGGTTAATTTTCCCTGTTGAAAGTAAGGGAAAAGATCTTCGTCCTTTCCTTTTTTCTTAGAGCATTTACCTTAGAAAGTTTGTAACTGTAGGCAAGGTTCAGTGGCTCATGTCTGTAATCCCAGCACTTTGGGAGGCCAAGGCAGGTGGATCACTTGAGGTCAGGAGTTCGAGACCAGCCTGGTCAACATGGTGATACCCCATGTCTACTAAAAACACAAAAATTAGCTGGGTGTGGTGGCAGGCACCTGTAATTCCAGCTACTTGAGAGGCTGAAGCATGAGAATTCCTTGAACCTGGGAGGCAGAGGTTCCAGTAAGCTGAAATTGTGCCACTGCACTCCAGCCTGGGACACAGTGAGACTCTCACAATCAATCAATCAAGCCTGTAATCATAAGTACTTCTTCATCTTTTGCTACGTATCTATTCCCTGAAAGACTAAATATGCCTTTTACCAGCAGTCCTTTTGTCAGCTTTGTGACCTAAGAATGCCCTTCTCAAGAACCGGGGATCTATCTTTTCAAAATGCAAGCATCAAGGGAGATAGCTCCCCAATCTCCCAGTTCCTGTGAGAGAGTAAAAGCCTAACTTCAGTGGTTGCCTGTTCCAATTTATAAAACTACCTCCCATCATAAAGATACAAAAAAGTTTGTTTCTCCTTAGGATAAAGCCAATTAGCTAACATGGATGGTTTTCCCAAACGTTATGATGAACTATGTGTGACAAAATGTGCTATCCAGTCTTCCTACCTGAGGAGTAGTGACTGTTTATCTTGATAGCATGTAATGTAATGGAGTGTATCTGTTTTGCTATTTAAAGGGGTGAGATTCCCTTCCATTCTTGCAGTCTCTGCATGAACTGTCTGTAATGCACATTGTATTCTGGTTTTTAATGCTTATTCAATAATAAAACTGTTTCCTTTCTCTACTACCTTCATGGAGAGGATTTCTGGGATGGGAGAAGATTTTGTTTTTAAGTTCTCCAACAATATGCTATCTTTTGAATTTACTTATGCCCATTGTTATAATAAGAATTAACTATTCTTATGTAAAGTAGAAGTAAAAATACCATAGGAGCATTTTAAATTTTAAAATTCAGTGTAAAATAGTTTTCAAATTAAAAAAGGAAATACAACGTATCATTACTCAATAGAAATGTTTAAAAAGGAAATGCTATGTATCATTACACAATAGAAATTTTTACTGTGATTTGCACATCTGTAACCCATGTGAGGTAAATTAGAACCTTTGATCAAAAAGATGCAAATAGGTAACTGCCTGATTATAGGTCTGCAACTGCATATAAAGACAGAGTCCTTTCTACCAAAGAACACATAATAATGAGAAACCATTGAGCTGTCTCTGTTTCCTCCAGTATTTGATAACAAGACTTTTTGGGATAGGTGATGACTAATGCAGTATAGCAACTCTCTGTAAAGTCTCTAGCATCATACTTAAAGTGAGAAAGAATCTTAAAATGACCAATATTATGCAAAAATAATTTCTTTGAATGTTCTGTTTTTAGTAATGCAAGCAATCATGACCTTATACTCTAACCATATTAATGAAAATCTAGGACATCAATATTGACAAGCTCTAAAAAAACATTACTAGCAATTCAATAAACTTTAATTGCCTATTTCAAGACAGTGCTTATATTTTTTAGTTTTTAAAATACTACTCAGATAAAGAAAATCATGTAAACTTTAAGTGAGAGGGAAATCTAATCAATATTCTTGGGGATAGTTAATGATAATTAAAACCTAAAGTTATCTAAGAGCAGGACACAAATAGACCAGGTAAATGTCATATCAGTGAAATGTGAAAACAAATTGTTTTAAATAATTTACAATATTTACCTTGCAGCATTTTGTTCAATCTTTTCATCAATGTCACTGAAGATCTGCTCAAACTCCAAGTCTCCAGGAAATGAGTTTAACAAACAATGTAGGTCAAAAGAACTATGAGAATATTCATCATCCCAATTCATTCTGAGGAACAAGAATAAATAAAACATGTCAGTTCCCCCACAATGGCCAGATATGAGGATGGGCAGAAATTCATCTCAAGTTGTGATACTAAACCAAAAATAATAATTTCCATTTATAGGCGCAATGAAATGTAGCAGTGGGAGAACTAGGGTATTATTAAGCTAGGTAAAGTGTTTTGTTATTTAAATTTCATGAGGTGTGACCTAATTTTCACACTTCTCTATGGTTTGAAAGCTGAACAAAACAGCAGCCCAGAGAGTACTTAAGCATCCTGCAGCTTCTCACTATAACCAAGAACTGTAATGGAAGTGACAGAGGCCACAGACCACTGTGAACAAGGGTGGGTGCAGCAAAAATTCAATGCCTTCCCTTAACCTTTGTGAATATACTGACCTGGAAGTTGTAACCTTAGACTTTTTAAAGCCTCACCCCACTGGGTCTGTTTATATGTAAAGGATACAAAATTTTCCTTGAGTTCCTCTAGCACTCCTTGACAACCTCAGTATTGACACCTAACTAAAAATTGAATGATATGATACTCCTTGAGGCACATGCATTTCCCCACCATCAAAGCTTTAATCATTCATTCTCTCTATATACTGAGTGTTTGATAGGTTACATGCACTGCTGTAGGGGCTGGGATATAGCTGCAATAAATTAAATTCCCTGCCCTCATGGAGTTTTTTTTCTAATGGGGAAGACAGATTTTTTTACAACACATAAACAGATATATTTAATCAAAAATCATATAGTAAGAGGTACAATAAGAGCAAGTAGCCGGGCGCAGTGGCTCATGCCTGTAATCCCAGAACTTTGGGAGGCTGAGGCAGGTGGATCACTTAAGGTCAGAAGTTTGAGACCTGCCTGGCCAACATGATGAAACCCCGTCTCTACTGAAAATACAAAAATTAGCCAGGTGTGGTGGCAGGCACCTGTAATTCCAGCTACTTGGGAGGCTGACACAGAAGAATCGCTTGAACCCTAGAGGTGGAAGTTGCAGTGTGCTAAGATTATGTGTCCCTGCACACTAGCCTGGGCAACAAAGAGTGAAACTGTCTCAAAAAAAAAAAAAAAGTAAAGTATGGTGATAGGCTAGATTAAGAGTCATGGAGCAAGGGCAGAATGTGAGCTATTTTATTTAGGAATATCAGGGAAGATATCTAAGGAGATGACATTTAAGTAGAAGAAATAAGTGAAGAAGCTATGAGGAAAGAAATAAATGGGAAAGACAAATTGGCTTCTTGATTACTTTGGCCAATAAATGACTCTAACCATATCTGCTTAAATGCGGTAAGAGCTCTCTAGTGAGAGCTAGTCATGCAACCCTACCTGGCTGCAAAGGTGTCTGGGAAATGTTGCCACTGGTTGAGCAGTGGATTCCAGGAAAACTGTATACCATGAATGGAGATCATTAATCTTTGGTAGACTGCTAACCTTTCTACCACTACCATTCATTTGGTTAAACTTGATTCTCTTCTTTCATGGTATTGATTTGCCTCAAATGTCTAAATGATCCATGGTAATCCATTTTTATTTATTGACAAAAGACTAGGTTGATATATATTGGTACCTGGCAAGAGTTTTCTCTACTGTTAAGAGGTTGTTTCATCCAAAAGGTCACTCCCTCCAGAGCAGGAAGGTTGATTCAGATACTACATGAGTGGATACTGTGTATCTACTAGCAGGCTTGGATTTATTAACAGAAGCAAGCACATATCTGATGATTTCCAGAGGTGACCAACGAAGAGTACATTATAGCTAGAGTGGAATTGTCAGAGGTGTGAGAACCAGAGCAACTCCATCTTGAATAGGAGCTGGTTAAAACAAGGCTGAGACCTACTGGGCTGCATTTCCAGATGGTTAAGGCATTCTAAGTTGCAGAATGAAATAGGAGGTCAGCGCAAAATACAGATCATAAAAATCTTGCTGATAAAGAAACCAGCCAAAACTCATCAAAACCTTCTTAGGCCACAAGAGTGACCTCTGGTTGTCCTAACTGCTACAATCCCACCAGTACCATGACAGTTTACAAATGCCATGGAAATGTCAGCAAGTTATCCTTTATGGCCTAGAAAGAGCAGGCAGTTACCCTATATGGTCTAGAAAGTGTACAATAATCCACCTCTTGTTTGGCATATCATCAAGAAATAACCATAAAAATGGGCAACCAGCAGGCCTTGGGACTGCTCTGTCTATGGAATAGGAATTCTTTTATTCCTCTACTTTCTTAATAAACTTGCTTTCACTTTACTCTATGGACTCACCCTGAATTCCTTCTTGCACAAGATCCAAGAACCCTCTCTTAGGGTCTGGATCAGGACCCATTTCCGTAACATCTTTCTGGTGACCATGGAATGGACTATATTAAGGAAACCCCTGACCCAAATGCTAACTTTGGGCAAGTGGTGGGGCCCAATAACATCTTTCTGGCAAACCCTGAAGGGACAATACTGAAGAAACCCCCTGATGCAAAGGAAATGGACCACAGCACTGATCAGCCGACTCTGAGTAAGTGGTGGGATACCTGGGTAAATAAAGGGATTGGAACAGAGGCCCAACTTAGGGGAGTCAAAGTCTCTCCTAAGACAATGGGTTAGAAGCCCCTGTTAATAAAAGGCAAGGATGTTTGACCACCCTTGGGTTAGAGGCCCAGCTTAGGAGGGTTAGGGTCTCATAAGATTTAGGGGGTTGGAGGCCCCTCTTGGTAAAGTCCCTTTTGGTTGAGAATGGGTTTGGCAGTATGGGATGTGAACTGCTATTCTCTTTGGATTAATCTGCCTTGCACTCTTTGCTGATGGCTATAGGTGACAAGATTAGGCATGTACAGGATCATGGAACACTGGAAGCTTTATCCTCCCCAAAAAGGGGAAAACATGAGAGATGATGGACTGCTGGAAAAGATCCCTTCCTGACCAACAAGTGGCCACCTGAACTTCTGAGCAATAAGTAGGTCTTTCTCTGGTCTCCCTGAAGTCTCTGCCTTCCCCACCCTGCCTGAGGCAATGCTTTCCTTTCTCTCCTGTGCAAACCAGTTGAATGAATGGTAAAAATCAGTTTATATCCTGTAAAGTTTTGATTAATGGGAAAAAGGGCTTGTGAGGCTAGTCTTAAGCTGTAGCGAATCTGGTGAACTTTGTGTGTCTCTCTGTATTGTTCTGTCATGAAGAGGAGTTTATATATGAAAGAATTTTGATTAATTGGCTTAAGAAGAGCTGAAATCAAATCTTTAGTCAGAAACATAAAAAGTTTAATGCATTTTATTAATTCATGTGACTTAATCTTTGAGAAATAAAAAGTTTTAAAGATTTTTGGTAAAATAAAAATATCTTCAAAGATGTAAACATTTGGTCTAAATTATGTAGGTTAAATATTGTTTGCTAAATACTTCAAGGTCATAAACTGGTTCTTTGACTTTTAAAAGTTATTCAATTTGTTTTGGAGCATTAGATTCTAGATAAGACCTGGGGACATGTGAAATTAGCCATGACCCCTGCTATGCAAAGAAGGTTATAAAGAAAGAGACTTTACATAAGAAAGTATCTTACATAGTAAATTTTTGTCCTAAAGTAAAATAACTGGTTGTTTAAAAGAGAGACGTTTAGGACAAGTCGAGAAGTCCAAGCATGTGGTAGATTGTCTGTGTAATTTGTAAAATCTTTTATGAAAGGGAATTTATGCACAAAATATACAATTTAAAGGTGATTAGACCTCCTAAATGCTTCATAAAATGCCACTAGGACTCCTGACTGTACAACTTGCTTGCTTTACAGCTGGGTAAGCCCTGGTACATGTGAAGTTCGACACTGGAAAAAATCGGACCTTATCTGCACTTCTGTCTGAGTCCTAGGCTCCACATCCAGTACATAGTTAATCCCTTACATAACAAGGTTTTTAACAAAAGTAAAAGTTGCTAAGAATCAACATTTAACATGTAATTGAGACTACTAAAAAAAAAAAACAGTCTACAGACAAGGCCTGTAAGGAAAATAGAATATACTTTTGGTAAACGATTATAAGAAGTCAAGGTAATGCGTATTTTTTCTTTTTTTTTTGCCTAAATGATTGTTTTCAGTTCGATAAAATAAGGCTGAAGGTTTAAACAAATGTGGAAAGTTTATGAAAAATTAATCTTGTAAAAGAAATTCTGTGTGTGAACATACTGGTTCAAGTTAAAGGGGTATTATTGAGTGTTTCCATACATTGGAATAAAATCACAACAGGTTTTCCTTAGAGCAAAAACCTACTTTTAATCTGCTCTTTAACAAAAATTGTAAAGGATTATAAAAAGTTTATGAGAATCTTACCTTATGGTCAAACTGATTAAGATTACATATATTTGTCTGTAAAGTTTTATTAAGAATTCGGTTTGACACCAATAATGCATTAATGCAACAGTGACATTTGGCTTATCTGGTATAAAGTCGTACAGGAAGCATTATCAAATGTAAAATGGTGATTGGTTTTCTTTGAGCTGCATTTGTATAAATACATTATTGGTATATGTTCCATTACAGGAAATTTATAATTCTGAAATGACTTAATGTATGTTATTAATAACTATAATTATTACATAAAATCATTGTATGCTACAGAGTTAGCCAAATCTGTCAATTATGTTTTTAACTGTCGCTGTCCTAAGATGTTTTGTGATCCACAGACAATTGTTGTCTTCTTTCGATCCTCTTTAGAAGGTGATTTATATAGAACTATAGCAGGTGTTCTTGAATGCAGGTTTTCTGATAACTTTGGAGACTGTGACATCAGAATAGAGGAAAAAACTTTGAGGACTCTCATGGAGAGCTGAAATGTTCCATGACTATCAAACAGGAGTTAACTGCACATGGACTCAACTAATAGAAGTCTAAAATAATCTTTTTAACATTTTGCTTAAAATGTTGCCAATCCTTTGTTTTGTTTTTCAGGACCAAGAAAACTTTTATTTTGAGCTACTTACAGCTTTTAACAATTGAGTAACATATACTCCTGTGAACAAAATTGGG